AGAGAATAAGATTCTCACTGTCACTTTCTCATTTAGCATAAACATTTAAGGAATCTCTTCAAGAAAGGGTGTCAAAATCATGGCAGGAAAGAAATGCCAGAAAGTGGCACTTCAAGCAAAAGAGGTTATGAATGCAAACACAAAGTGAACGCAGATCTACTCTTGCTCACAAGGGAAAAACACTTTCTTTTCACACTTGTAAGAACAAAGCATTTAACCACAGATCAGAGCTGAGCTCCTGTCTATTCAACTCAGCTTTCTTCTCTTCTCTTCTCTTCTCTTCTCTTCTCTTCTCTTCTCTTCTCTTCTCTTCTCTTCTCCTCTCCTCTCCTCTCCTCTCTTCTCCTCTCTTCAAACCACTCTCTAAGGTACCATACCGTTTACACCCCTACAAAGGTGTGACAATGAACTGTTGCTGGTGTGGGCTTTTAAGCTGAGCCCAGCAGGTGTGTCTGTTCAGCACTGATTAGCGCTAGGGATTCTGGGACTTGGAGTTCTTCGACCCAGATCCACCAGCGCTTCCACTGCACTGCCCAGGCCCCCTGCTGGTGACCGGCAGCACAGGCCGACCCCTTACGCACTGGAGTAAAAACAAAGTCATTTTATATCTGCTTGGGCTTGATAGAGCCTCTGTATACAAAGATTGCTGTACAGCAAATTCTTTATGGTGTTTGATTTGAGTTCTAGAAACAGAGAGAAAATCCAGAGGTGCTGCGTTCAGTAATCAGAGCAGGAGCAGGATAAATCTGACAGACTGTAGAGGTGATGAAGGAGGTGTGATCACACACACTGTAAGGAACTGATATAAATGTTCAGTGGAAGCACTGCGGTAAACTACTGATGCAATATCTTTCATTGACAGTTCATTTAACAGGAGTTTTTTGAGGGGATGGGCAGTGTCCTGGTCACTTAAGGGATTAATAAATGATGTGGCCTAGAGCAGAACTTTTACTGTGGAGTAGTTTCTGACCTAATCTGGCCTTCACTGACATTAGCATGTTAATGTGACTCCACATCTCAAACAGAACACAACACACAGAGCTGTTTTTTTACAATTCAGCATAAAAAAAGAAAATGAAAGAAAAAAACTTGTTGTGAAAATAATAAATTATTGTCATGGAAATTATACTGTGGGAGATCATCCACAGCTATGAAACAAATTTGACAGTGATGGAATATATATATATATATATATATATATATATATATATATATATATATAAGCTGAAAGAGCTTCTCTATTGTTATGTACACATGATGCTATACAGAAAAAAGGAGACATGATGAGGTGTGTGAACTTATTATCTCTAAGAAATGCCTTAACATTGTAAACTGTACTGATTCACCTTCGTGTGTGGATAAATCTTGTTGTGCTGAGGGCTGGATGTACTTCAGAGGGAAGTGCTACTACTTTTCTACTGATTTTTTTTTTTTAAAACCTAACTTGTAAATGCAGTGTGAACCGGATACACTGTGTTTATTTTTAGCTAACTGGAAACAATGATGCTAGGCTAGCTGGCTATGCTAGACTGCACTGCTAGACTGTTAGCAGTAAGCAACCAAAACTAAGTTGTTAGCAGCACAGAGAGCTGCATTACATTAGCCAGTGGATAACAACGCAGGGTGACGTTTCCAAACCACACATTTTGCACGATTATTTTACTTCAGTTAAAGCCTCTAAAGAGCACTTATAGTGTTCTATAAGGTATTTTGAACTGAAATGAAATTTCCTTAACATTGAAAAGATGTTTAAAAAACCTTCACTTCACTTAAAGCCTGTAATAAAGCTATATACAGCATTCTATTTAGTTATAGTCCTTAGTGTCTAATATTTTTGTTAAAAGATATTATAATGCACTATATAACCTGATTTTGTGAAATCATATACTCTTGGTTTAAAAAGTGATATGCATGTAATTATAACTACTTAAGAGAAATTATACAACATTGTACCAGATATTATAAGGCATTATGTATGTCATATAATGCTTTATTTATAATGCATTATGAATACAGGATTCATAGGAAGTGTTACCACAATTTCTATAGAATTCCTATTTTTTCTATATTAAGTTTCTATATTTCTGTCTTTATGTACACATTTTTGCTTCTTTTAATGTTTCATTGATTTGTTTGTGTTTTTTTTAAAAGGCATTAATCACTGATTTATCCTTATTGCACTGCGGCCAACACAATCCACTGCCATTTGCTACAGTATAATGAGAGGATTGAAGTATATTCAACAAACTAATATTCTGCTAACACTTATGTTATTATTTGAACATCTTAGTCTGAACTAAATGTGCACAAAAAAGCTTAACTTGTTTAAAATATATACATCTCAGTTTTTAGCTTGTTCAGCAGGGGAGCATGGGACACAGCCTACTGATAGTTTTGATGCCTGCTCAATTTAAATGAGCAAATAACCTCTAATTAGCACTAAGTCAACAACTCCTTGAAATCCTGGATTTATTTCATCATAAGGAGAAGAGAACTCATAAGTTTTAAGAATTGTGTCTGATGTAAGAGGAAGTTGTTTAGATTTATTTGCTATCCTAAACCCTAAGAAATTATTTGATGTTTAAACTTATAAAGGTAAAACCTGGATGTTTGTATTTAGATATTGCTGGTCAAATTACATACCTTTTTGATTTTTACAGTAAAAATGCACAGTAACTTTTTATTTGCTGAATTTAACATGGGGGGAGGGATAAAACGCAAAATGTAGTATAAATACAAACATAAAACAGGGATGTTCAAACATTTGCATGCAACTGTTTATAGATGATAGCATAGGTCACGCAATGTAACTGACAATATACAGATGTCAGACAGATCTATTTTTGTTTACTAGATGGGAAATTATTTTTGCTGAACACAGGAAGGCACTAACCACACTTGAGCCCCTTGAGTAAGTTCATATCAGGCCTTCAATCTCTGCAGCAGGTTCTTCTTATTAAAAATTGTCTAGAGGGGTAGGAGGCAGGGCTATTGTGGTTTAGATCATGCATTCAAGTTTTGTTTTAAAAGATAAAAATAATTGTGACTTCTTAATAAATTCGATAATATGAATGAATCTCTTTTACTGGTAGAACTGCAACTGTAATTCAGCCAACATTGATCCTGACCATTAGGACCCAGACCCTGCAAGCTGACGAGGAAAAACTAATGACAACAATGTCTGAGTGGTGTTAAACAATCATGCTGCTCTGTGCACGTGCAGTTTTGATCATCCTGTTTGCCTGCTTTGATCTCTTTCACTTCTTTCCTCATGCGTTGATTTAGAACCCTCTAATGGCTGACCGCTGACACTGACCGAACATGCTCAACTGGCCAAAACAGAGCTGACAACAGCCAACTAGAGCCAACAGTGCTTAACATACCACACAAACTATGGGCGACATGAGCCACTGACGCTCAATGATGGTGTGTGACGGCCAATGGTGTGTCAGGACTCCTAGATATTTAACAGCAAAGCTTCAGTGTCTGTATTTTTAACATAATTCATTCTTGAGCATTTTAAGTTGACTATTTTGGGTTCATATTTGCTGTGCTATGATCATTTCAGCAGGTCTGTTTCTGTTATTGTGCCTTTAAGACTGATATGTGTAGTGGGGTTCTATCATTGTACTGTGCCTCCTTATAACAACCTTTATAACTTCAGTGTGAATGGGCAGTGTTAAACTACTGTAGGCTGAATATGTGGACATAAGTAAATGGCTTTTTTATGACATCACAAAAACATTGGGCCTCATTCACCAATATATTCAATATCAATAATGTTTTTTTTTCTTAAATATGTTGTTGTGAAAGATCCTAAGAAAAAGTTCAGATTCATGATTTGTTCTTAAACCACAGAACTGTTCACACCTTTGTGGCCTTGAGTGTGTGTAGATTCTGTTCTTACCTAAGAGCAAATCCCAAGTAAGAAAACTGGCGAATGTCAGAATCTTCATGAAAACCTCGTAAGTGGGTTTTAAGAAATTTCTTCTTAAGAACAGTTGGTGAATGAGGCCCAATGATTTCAAAATAGGCTGTTTTCGCAGCTTAGTTTCTATATAAAGACTGTATAGACGTGTGAGTGAATAGTAGATTTTGAAACAATGCTTATATACAGTACTATATCAAAAAAGTGAGTAAAATGATCATGGGTCCCTGAAGCATTTTCCTGTGCTTAAGAGCCACAGCATTTAGGCATTTATTGTTTCTCCTGGCCAACTTCAGCCACAGTGAAGCTCTTGGGAGTTATATGAGATTAAAATTGGATGTGTTAGTCGCAGTCACTGCCCAGCTAATGTGTTTATGTAGAAGACGGAAGGATTCTGGGGGGAATACCCTCAGTATCAGCATTGCTCTGCCATCCCTGAGTGGATAGCTAAAACAACATGACTAAACATACCATCAGAAGCCCAAGAAATTTAGTCCAGATGAACTCCAAATAATCAATCTTGTAGAATAGATTACAGCAAAAAACAGAAAGCAGAAAACTACACTTGCAGTTGCAACTCATATCTCAGCAACCTAAGAACCTGCTCCCTTTACCACTCTGGCACTCCCTTCTATTACTTATCACTCCCTTTATCACTCTGAGTTAACCACTAGTGGCACCCTGTCTAAGTCACACAGTAGTCCTACACAGAGCTTCTGGGAAAATTAAATTTGTTTATTTTCCAGAATATAAAAAAGGAACCAGAAGCACTACAAAAATAGAAAAAAGGAACAAGCATATCTGAGTGGTGCAGGAAGGCGCACTTAAACATACCCCAACCGTTACACTTCTTTTTTTTCTTGTGTTCTGTTTGTGATACAAACTAGTTGACCGTGCTCTGCTATCAGTACAGTCTGATGTCATGTATGTCTTCGAAAGCACACTAAATGTGAGAAAGGAGAAGTGTCACACTTCACTGGACGTTCTCAAAGAATGAGAATCAGAATTAGTCTATGTATTCTCACTCTGAGTTACAGTAAGTGCATCTTCTAAACACATTCTCACGACATAAATGGCAGCCATCTACTGTAATGTGAAATTTAAAAACTGTGGGACAAGAAAAGCAGGAGAGGGTGAACTTTCCAGAGGTGAGCTATAATTTCTTTTTTTGTTCATTAATGAATGCAAAACATTTACAGGACAAGAATAACAGGGTTGTATTTGTTATATCATGCCATTAATCGTGTTATATGTCATGTCATGTATGCTGTAAACCTGTTGAATTTGGTTGCTGAGTTGTGATCCTAAAGTGTAGTTACATTTTGTGTTGTGTCACTTAAAGGTAGAATTCGCAGAGTGTGCCAGACTTTTAGTGCAGTGTGAAGATTTCACTGGCAGGAAATAACTTAATAGAATAAAATAATAGAAAATATAAGTGATCGTAAAGACAGTGTTTGTAAAGAATGGAAAAGATAATAGTGCTGATGCAATTAAAAGTCATATAAGAAAAGTAAGTACAATAAAGGACAATGCAATTCTGTGATCATGTTGTGGTTTGAGCTGGACCTCAGTGGATGTGTGAAGTACCACACAAGGGTGGCTTGTGTTGAAAACGCAAAGTGAGTTTCCTAAAAGCTTCATAGCTTTAACATTGTTGTATTAAGTAAAATGCCAGGCAGAGAGATCAATCAAAGTGTAAAATCTGCTAGCTTTCTTATAATAACAAGTCTCAAGTCAGGCTTTACTGTCATTTCAACTATATACAAGTACACAGGGAAACAAAACAAGATTCATCCAGGACCATGGTGCAACACAGGAACACAAGTGCGAGACAATACAATAAACACAGAGCAGACAATAAATAATACGAAACACTTACAATAAATACAAAACAGTACACAGTACTAAGAGTACGAGCAACCAGAGCAGTAGTGTACAGTATACAGTATTTGGTTGATACAGTAAGTCTAGCAGCTACCATTGTTAAATTGAAGTAAAATGTGCAAATATGCAAAGTCATCAGGAGATTCACCAAAATTATATAATTTCTTATTTCAAAAGATATACATAAAGTAATTCATGTTTTAAGCTCATCCTGCCTGAATTATTGCAAAAGTATTTTGTATTTATTTAGTATTTCGGCATCAGCCAGTCTTGCATGCCTTCAGTTTGTTGAAAATGCTAGAGCTACACTAAAAAATAAAAGTACCAGAACCAGTTCTTTGTGCATTGCCACAGAAGAACCACTTTAAGTTCCCTAAAGAACCTTTAAAAGGATGGTTCTTTAAGAAACCATTTTGTAAAGGAGACGTGAGTGTGATGCAAATACACAATACATTGATAACTTTTACGCTACCTAAGCTTTTAAAAGGTTCATGCATGCAATCTTCTTTCCAAGCATGTTTTTTTAGGGAACCAGAAGTGGTTCTTCTATAGCATTGCTTACAGAACCCTTTTGTGCCACTTTAATTGTTAAGAATGTAGACTGCAGTTGCATGCAGAGATGAGGGATCATATAACCCCAGTTTCAGTGTCCCTCAACTGGCTTCCAGTTCACCGCAATATTCAATATAAGATTATAGTGTTTGTTACTAAGACTGTGAATGCACTGCCCCTCCTCACACTGTACATATGCTTTGTCATCCCTGATTGATTAAAAGTAGTTTTGGGTTTGAAACTGGGGTTTTACAGTAGCTGCACAGTGGAACAGTCTACCAGTTGATCTGAGACATGCTTCATGTGACCTGTTTTGCATCAAAACTAAAGAGTGTGATGAGTGATTCTTTGTATATATGTGCATAATTCCAGCAGTAATTGATGGATGATGTGCTTGTAACTTTGTACTTTGTACAGCACCCTAGTCGAAACACATTGTTTTACATGTGCCTTATAATTAAAATTTACTTTACACATACACACTGCTCTACAAAAGACATCTGAGAAAATATGTATGTATTTTTTTCTCTGGTCAGTAAGCATTTATTTGATAAAAAAAATAGGATTGAATAACAATAGGATAAACACAAATAAAGAGTACACAGTGATTTGATGTGAGTGTGTTAGCTTAACCATTTCCAAACCTCTCCTTCACAGTTACCTTTAAATTATTAATATGTTTTGTCAACAAATTAAATTAAATGGGTGCTGCTGATGGATTTTAACAAATCCATGCAGTGACTGGAGTACATTAAGAGGTCAGGAACCAAACCTGTGAAGTGTTTTAAAAACACATATGCCAACCAGCCAGAACATTAAAAGCAACTTCTTGTTTCTCTACTCTTTTGTCCATTTTATCAGCTCCACTTATCATATCCTACCACAGGAGCATGTTGTAGTTCTACAATTACAGACTGTAGTCCATCTGTTTCTCTGCATACTTTGTTAGCCCCCTTTACCCTGTTTCTTAATGGTCAGGACCCCCGCTGGACCTCCACAGAGCAGGTACAATTTGGGTGGATCATTCTCAGCACTGCAGTGGCACTGATGTTGTGGTGGTGTGTTTGTGTGTGTTGTGCTGGTACAAGTGGATCAGACACAGCAGTGCTGCTGGAGTTTTTAAACACTGTGTCCACTTACTGTCCACTCTATTAGACACTCCTACCTTGTTAGTTCACCTTGTAGATGTAAAGTCAGAGACAGTAGCTCATCTGTTCCTGCACAGTTTGTGTTTGTGTCGTCTTTTAGTCCTTCATCAGTGGTCACAGGACGCTGCCCACAGGACACTGTTGGCTGGATATTTTTGTTTGGTGGACTATTCTCAGTCCAGCAGTGACACTGAGGTGTTTAAAACCTCCAGCAGCACAAAGTGCACCAATATGGTAAGTGGAGCTGATAAAATGGACAGTGATTGTAAAAACAAGGAGGTCTTTGTAATGGCTGATCATATACTGCCATAAGGTAAACACTTTTAAACCGTTTGTACTGCATATTCTTTTCTGATGTTTTATCAGCTGTTGCACAAAACGAGGATTTAATCTACTCCACAGTGAGATTCTCTACAGAGGGTGAGTCTGTGTAACTGTTCATACATCTTCTTGGTCAGTCTCATCCATAAGCAGAGAAAGGTGGGGGGGGGGTGTCGTATTGTCACACTTCAAATTTCCTGCTCAATGCATCTTGTGTCTTTGTTTCTTTTTTTTGTTTGTAAATGTGACAAAATTGTTATTATTATTATTATTATTATTATTATTATTATTATTATTAATAATAATAATAATAATAATTACAAACTATAGAATTTTTTTTAATTGTGATTTAAATCCTAAGATGACTATTTTCCAGTGCAGCTTTATGTCCTTGCGCTGAAAGAGAAATGCAGTCTGCACGTCCTCTTATATGCATCTTTACTTTAGCAGACTGAGCTAGCTCATCTTTTCCCATATTCAAGCACGACTAACATTTAAAAGTGAAGTTAACTGAGCAGAATCGAGCTTGGGAACATAATGTCATAACACAGTGTGCTATGGGTGATCCACCACTGTGGCAGGTTTACCTAGTCTAAGTTAGTTAAGTGTATAGTAACAGGCCACTTTGTTAGAAATACTTTCTTTGTCGTTTGGATCTTTGTTAATATACAGTTAGAAAACATAATGTATATATTAGAATACATATATAAATATATATATATTTTTTTTTTACAATTGTCCTTTGTGTTTGTCATCCCCTCATCCCCTGTTAGACCACGTGATGCTCTTGGCTGGACATTTTTGGTCAGTGGACTACTCTCAACCCAGAAGTGACAAAAAATATTTGCTCAGTTAAGGTCCTACGCTGGCCTCTTTCCTTGGTGGATGGACATGGCTTATACATACTGTTGTTTAATATTTGAAAAATAGACATTTTGTTATTTGAAATTATTTTAGACCTTTGGTCTCATGGTTGCCAGCCCCTTCTGAAACCTGCATGCACACACAAATTTGAGTTTCTCCTTTTCTAAGAGACTCTAACTAACTAAAGTGGGTGCTTGAATGATTTTGGCCTTTCCTTTCTACTTTTAACAGATGTAATTTTAAGAATGGACCAGATTTAGACAGCAATCACACTACCATATTGTTTTTTTCAAGTTCTGGTACCACTGCATGATCTTGTACATGACTGCATTTTCCAGTCCTGAAATATGTGTTTATCTTCAATGGGACAACATTTTTCAGCACTGGATGCAATTTTGAATACTACAACATGGTTTTGATGTTATAGCAATTTAAGTATTTCTCAATACTTGCAGTTTGTCCTGATATTCTTGGTCTCCACAGCTAGCTACAGGACGGAAAGTGTTAAATCTGTCATCTCTGTCTTTGTTCGTTAGGCCTTGTGTTCTTTATAACCCAGTGGTAAAACAAACTTCCCTCTGAACTCCACACTACACCGTCAGTTTGATTTGCAGGCTTTCTTTAGGCAGTACACAGGTTAACAGCCTATTGCTCTCTTTCGTGTTTAATTTCCACCATTACATTCTTCGGTGTTAAATTCAATCTTATTTTTATGTTTAATTACTTTATTTAAATGTTCTTTCCACAGTCTTTGTAAGCCATAATCTAACCTCTAGTGTCTAACCTCTGCTAGTCCACAGCAAAAAAAAACATCTGGTCAGTGGCTTTCATTAATGATGTTATTCGTTATAAACCATTTCTGTTCTGGCAGCTGGCCCTAGCCACTCTGACCTGCACAGACCAGATGACCCTGCCGACCCCTCACCTGAGCCAGAGTCAAAGGTTGTGACAATTGGACAGGCTAAAGAGAGAATACTGTGGATTTCTCTCTGTACTGTCCTTTTTGCTGTGGCCCTCATCATCGGAGTGCTCTGTGAGTCTAAACTCTAATATATATAGAATGTGTTACTATTGAAGTTTCTTGTTTTTGACAACTGTGGATCTATGAAAACTGTGTATCTTCTGTTTCTGTTCACAAGTCATCTCTGGCAACGTTTCACATGAAGAACCCTCTTACCAGCTCACAGGTTAGTGTCTGAATGGAAAACAGTGTGAAATTCTGAAAATGGAAAAACACTGCTTTAGGAGAACTTGAAATGGTTATATTCACTAATACCAGTCTACATAAAGACAACAGAGGAGGCGGTAAATAGACTAGTTAACTGGAACACTAAACACCATTATGGTTGGGTTAACATGTACTTACACACTGGGCATAAAAACACAGCTCAACACTAAATGTTTTATGTTTATCCCTGAAAAATCTAAACTTTTGAACACTGGCTTCCTAGTAGTCCAATCAGCTTCCCCCCATTAGATTATTAAATTAACCAAACATAAAATGTTTATGCAGAAAACAGAGGCTGCACAGTACAGTGTCAGTTAAAGCTCCCAGTCTGAAATCCTGCTTTTTTTTCTTCTTGTACTCCTGCAACAGACGGTTTGCTATGATGTTCAGTCCAAATGGATTAAAACGTGCCTTTTAAATACACTATATTGCCAAAAGTATTCACTCACCCATTCAAATCATTGAATTCAGGTGTTCCAATCACTTCCATGGCCACAGGTGTATAAAACCAAGCACCTAGGCAAGCAGACTGTTTCTTTAAACATTTGTGAAAGAATGGGTCGCTCTCAGGAGCTCAGTGAATTCCAGCGTGGTACCGTGATAGGATGCCACCTGTGCAACAAGTCCAGTTGTGAAATTTCCTTGCTACTAAATATTCCACAGTCAACTGTCAGTGGTATTATAACAAAGTGGAAGCGATTGGGAATGACAGCAGCTCAGCCACGCAGTGGTAGGCCACGTAAAATGACAGAGCGGGGTCAGCGGATGCTGAGGTGCATAGTGCGCAGAGGTTGCCAACTTTCTGCAGAGTCAATCGCTACAGACCTCCAAACTTCATGTGGCCTTCAGATTAGCTCAAGAACAGTGCGTAGAGAGCTTCATGGAATGGGTTTCCATGGCCGAGTAGCTGCATCCAAGCCTTACATCACCAAGTGCAATGCAAAGCGTCAAATGCAGTGGTGTAAAGCGCCGCCACTGGACTCTAGAGCAGTGGAGACGAGTTCTCTGGAGTGATGAATCACGCTTCTCCGTCTGACAATCCGATGGACGAATCTGGGTTTGGCCCCTTAGTTCCAGTGAAAGAAATTCTTAATGCTTCAGCAGACCAAGAGATTTTGGACAATTTCATGCTCCCAACTTTGTGGGAACAGTTTGGGGATGGCCCACAGATGTGACTGACACATCTGTAAAGGCACCGTTAATGCTGAATGATATATGCATGTTTTGGCAACATATGCTGCCATCCAGATGACGTCTTTTTCAGGGAAGGCCTTGATTATTTCAGTATGACAATGTCAAATGCACAACAGCATGGCTCCATAGTAAAAGAGTCTGGCTGCTAAATCTGCAGTCCAGACCTGTCACCACTGAAAACATCTGGCACATGATGAAATGAAAAACACAATAAAGGAGACCCCAAACTGTTGAGCAGCTGAAATCCTATATCAAGCTGGAAAAACTACAACAGTTGGTCTCCTCAGGTCCCAAACACTTACAGAGTGTTATGAAAAGAAGATGTGATGCAACACAGTGGTAAACATGCCCCCATCCCAACTTTTTTGGAATGTGTTGCTGGCATCAAATTCAAAATGGGCATATACTAAAACTATTTTGTAGTTTTAACATTGGATATGTTGTCTTTGTACTATTTTCAACTGAATATAGCGTTGAAATGATTTACAAATCATTGCATTCAGTTTTTATTTATATTTTACAAGTATCCCAACTTCTTTGGATATGGAGTTTATGAAATGATAAAATCCATAGCGTCTTTGTCCCACAGACTCCTACACCTCTAAAATATGTATATGAATGTGCACACATTTTCTTATCAATCACAAATTTGTAAAGTGATTTCTGAGGGCAGTTTAAATATGCAGACTTTAAGCATCTAATTTGTGCTATAATATTGTTGTGGCCAGTAAGCTCTTAGCTGAGACTAGATGCTCATAGTAAGGAAAAACAAGCAGTGGGACATCATATCTATTTAGTAATGTGATTAATGTGAACTAGAAGCTGCAAACCACTATGTAAATGTAGCTGTATGTATATGGCACCTTGTACTTTTCATGTATTGGTATGCTAATGTCATGTGTTGACTAATTCATAATTGTATATTTGTATTTCAGGGATGGAATATAATCTAACTGAGATACAGAAGAGCTACACAGCAATCTTGGAAGAGAAGAAAAACTTACGGGATATTATTAGTAGTAAGTACACATCATAGCACATGTGCGAAGTATAATGATTCACTTTGGTATAAAGGTAGATTTCACCATATACAAGGAATTTCTTTACTAGGTTTTTCATAGATCCTACAAATTTGAAACAAGAAATGACACCAAGATCACACACACACACACGCGCGCGCACACACACACACATACACGCACACCACACGCTTATATAAACTATCTATTATTTGGGATTAAGTTTTCACAGTTTGGTGTGAAGAAGAAAAGGAAAACCTTTCCAGTGAACTTTAATGTAGGATACATTTTTATGTCTATAAAATGTTGAACACACACACACACACACACACACACCCTGTTCAGGTTGCCAGTCCATCTCAGCAAAAGCTAAACATTTAATATAATATAAAACAACTGCTTAATAAACTGGATGTGCATAATTCATAATTGTACATTTGTATTTCAGGGATGGAAAAAAATCTAACTGAGATGCAGAAGAGCTACACAGCAATCTTGGAAGAGAAGAAAAACTTACAGGGTGATATTAGTAGTAAGTACACATCATAGCAGATTCAAAGTGAAGTGAGAAATATATTAAACGATTCACTTCAGCATAAAGGTAAATAGCAGATTTCACCATATACAACAAGGAATTATTTGGGATTAAATTTTCACACTTTAGTTTACTTTGGGGAGGGGGGTTGAATGGGAAGGCCAAGGCCACCCTAACACAATCACTGACCCGCCACCCAACCCCAGTGGTTACCTTGATAAATCACTTATGCATAACATGCTGCATAATATGCTTTTATCTATTACACTAATTACTAGAGCTGTCAACAAATATTCTAATTTCAATTATATAATCAAATTATATTTTATTTGATTAAATTTCATATATGAAAAATAGACATTCAGTTTCAGTGCATTACTGCAGCTGTCTGCCTTGCAAGTTCTCACGTGGGCCATGCACTAAATGCACTGCATGACAGGCAGGAGTTACACAATTCCCTTTATGATTTAAAATGAAATTAAGGTCCAGCTGAAATGAATGAATAATTCAACAATTCAAAGTGTTCGCAGACACACACATTCACACAGCACTGAAACAATAGAAAGCAAAATGGATGAGCATGTCTTATGCCTCAATTTAATAATCCAGTTGGTGGCAAAGTGAAGATTTACACCTTTCTCAAACCTTTTATCACTTACTGTAGTTGCAGGATTGTTTGGTGCTGATTTCTTCTCAGTGAATGTGTGCTTCTGACTTTTGTGAAGGGGAGCATGAATTTAAAGGGAATTGAATCTGATGAAACACTCTTGTTGTATTGGTGTGTGCTGTTATGGACATGATGCACAAAAATATATATTTGAATAGATTAAACCTGTGTGTGTTTTTAGAAGGAAAAATCCAACATTATGTTTGGCCTACTTTGACAGCCCTATTGCACATCAGATAATTAGTAACAATGGGCCTCATTCACCAGTCGTTCTTGAGAAGAAATTTCTCCTTAAAACCCACTTATGCAGTTTTCACAACCTTCACCAAAGTTTCCTTATTTGGGATTTGTTCTTGGGTAAGAACAGAATCTAAAGGTGCGAACAGTTCTGCGATTTAAGAACAAGTCATAAATCTGATGTAGACTTTGTCTTCGGACCTTTCTCAAAACCATTTAAAAAAATTAGGACTTTATTGATGAATAATGAACATTAACTGTAAAATAAGACATCAAATTATGTGAGTATATAATTCTTTATTATTGACATAGTCTTCAAACAGGGCAATCAAGAGGAATAATTCTGGCTTATTACTATCTTGGTTGGAGCCTGTTCACACCCATTCGCTATTTTGGCAGTCAGGAATGATAGTGACTGCAGCTACATGGGTGGAGTGGTATAACAGAGGTGTTACTGTCACAGCCTGGCTTTGGCCTAGGTCACATTCTCGGCGTGGTTACCAGACTGGCTGGTAATGTTTTAACAAAAATATTGCATTAACCATTTAGGAATTACAGCCATTTTTGCTGAGTTCAGTAATCAGAGCAGGAGGAGGATAAATCTGACAGACTGTAGAGGTGAATGTGGAACAGTGGAAACACTGCTGTAATTTACTGATGCGTTATTTTTCATCGACAGTTCGTTTCACAGGGGATTATTTTACCCATAGTCCTACCACAAAAAGATATGTTTGAATGTATTTTTTGTGTTTTGTTTATCTAACCATGTTGTGTGTTTCAGTAAATAGTTCATCCTTGCATGAACATCCAGGCATTTCCTATTAGAAGCTAGCTAGATAGATTTGTAGTTGTTTATATCTTTACATGCTACATAACGTGGTAAAACAAGGTCCTCATGCAACTGTGGGTTCATGTTAGAGCACATGTGACCTGTACATTATAAATACAGATGTCCATGAAAAAAAAACTGTACAAATACAATAATCAGTGGTATTTAAAAATACAATAAACTACTGTAGTTTTATTATACAGTATGAAAACTGTAAAAACAGTAAACTACTAAAAGTCTAAAGTCAGTATTTTCATTTTGCTATGTATACAGTGAGTTACATAAATAATTATATTTACGTTAATTTTGCATTCTGTATCAGCTGATTTGAGTATGTTCTTCCTGTTTTTTCTGTTTTCTTCAAAAAATCACAATTGAACGACCAAAATGATATTTTCTTTAATTTCCACATATCCAGTCACATTCAAGTGCTAATTTGAATAATATTCCATCTCTGTTTACAAACAAATTTTATATTGAACCGCATGTTCCAGTGAGCTGCCAATGAGAAATGGTTCACATAAAATTGCAGCGTGCTTTTCTATCACTGTTTATAATTGTAACTTTTAAAGCTTTAGTTTTTAAAGCCAAGGCGTATTACCTCCTAAGGTTTATTGTTCAGTAACAGGAACTGAACAGCAATGCAAACTGAGTTAGTAACAAATTAAAGAAATGTGTTAAGGGGGGAGGGCCTTGTAGATTAGGGTTCGTGGCAGTTGAAAGGTTTAGTGAAGAACCAAGAACAGAACTTTTATTGCAGAGCAGCTGTTCTTTACAGAAGCACAGTTGTATTTCCCAATCTGACTATCAAGTGTGTCATTAAGAATTTTTTAAATGAGAATGTACTGTCAGTACCATTGCAAATAATTATAAATTAAATTTGTTTGTGTGTTTGTTTGTGTTTCCTGTTAGAGTGTCTTCAGTGTTTACCGTTGTTAATCTGACCTTCACTGACATTGACATGATAATGTGACATCATGACTTTCCAGATAAAGAGAAGATCATTCAGCAGCTCCAAACAAAAAAGAAACAAAAGACATGTGATTGTCAATTTAAGAGCTTTACCTGTATATTGTATTCTCTATTATTATGTAGATATGATGTTACACAGAAGTCCTATAACAGGAGACATGACTCCTGCAAATGTGTGTTATAATCTTATCACCCTTATCTCTGAGAAATGTCTAAACATTGAAAACTGTACTGATGCAGCTCCATGTGTGGGTAAATCTTGTTGTGCTGAGGGCTGGAAATACTTCAGAGGGAAGTGCTACTACTTTTCTGATGATGTGAGGACCTGGACTGCCAGTAGAGATGATTGTGTAGCTGTAGGAGGAGACTTGTTGATTATCAGCACTACAGAGGAGCAGGTATGATGATCTGATATAATGAGTGACTTCATAACACTCACTGACTGAAACACACTAAAAATAAGCAGCTCTATTAAATCATAGACATAACAAACTGTTTATCTTATAAAATAAGATGTATGAAGTCCTGTGTCAAGAAAAACCCAAAAACATATTTTTTTCTTTTTTTAATAACACCGTAATAACTATTTATAAAGTGCTATTCAAATAGGTAGCAGCTTTATAGACAGGCGATAAAGTTCAGTAACAGATGAGTTTAGTGATTTCCTTATATTAAATGTTAATCTGTGTTAACAGCAATAAAAAATAAAATTTAATTAAAAAATTAAGAGAATTAGATATCATCATAGTATTGCAATATATCGTATTGTATTACTATAATACAGTTATAATACAGCTGGAAGTTTCTGGTTACAGACTTTTATAAAGAGATCAAAGCCTGGTGAGGGTGAGCAGCGCTACTGGGTGGGTCTGACTGATGCTGTGACGGAGGGAGACTGGCGCTGGTTAGACGGAACACGACTCAGACAGACACCAAAGTAAGTCCACTTCAGACTCCACTGTAAAACACCACTGATCTGATTTCTGGCTTTGACATTTAATATTATAGTAACATTCTAGATATTTAATATCAGTGTTTTTCATGTGTTTTAAAAAATAACATTGTGTGAAGAGTAAATAGTTTATTTTGTTCTCTTGTTTTCAGATGCTGGAGTGGAAATGAGCCTGATAACTGGAAAGGGAAGCACTATCAGTATCCTGAAGGAGAGGACTGTGCTCTGATGGTTCTGAACACTAATAGTTATGTTTTACTGGATGCATTCTGTGATGTAAGGGAAAGAAAATTCAAGTATGTCTGTGAGGCAAAAGCACCAAATTAAGCATAAAAGAGAAATGACAGTTAGGACGATAATGTGGGGGGCTGAGAAATGATACGTATATATATATTGCATATATATTTATATGTTGTAGTATAATGTAGCAGAACTGAGGGTCTTCAGACAGCTGAAGACAACTGCAAAACCTAATGATACCCAACCTAACCCAAAACCCATAATCCTAACTGTAAACATATACCCAAAAACCTAACCCTGACCCTCACCCTGGCCTTAATCCTACAATGTTAGAAATAGAGGTACAGTGCAGGTATAATTTTACAATGCCAATTCCAAAAACCGGGACGCTGTGTTAAATGTAAATGAATTTAAATAAAAACAGAATGCAATAAATTACAAATCTCATAGACCCATATTTTATTCACAGTAGAGCATAAAACACACAGTGAGATATTTTACTATTTCATGAAAAATATTAACAATATTTTAATATTTAACAAAAATGTTAAAACTTGGCAGCAACACATCTCAAAAAGTTAGGACAGTTGTGATGGATTCAGTATGTGGTTTAGCATTGTCTTGCTAAAATATGCAAGGCCTTCCCTGAAAGAGACACTGTCTCACACCTTTCCAGATGTGTAAGCTACCCATGCCATAGGCACTAATGCAACCCCATACTATATCTGACCACAGAACAGTTTTCCATTTTTCCTCAGTACATTTTAAATTAACTTTGGCCCAGAGAAGATGGTAGCATTTCTGGATCGTGTTGACATATGGCTCCTTCTTTGCATGATACAGCTTTCACTTGCATTTGTGGATCGCACAGTAAACTGTGCTCATAGACAATGATTTCTGGAAGTGTTCTTGAGCTCATGCAGTGATTTCCAGTAAAGAATCATGCCTGTTTTCAATGCAGTGCTGCCTGAGGACCCGGAGTTCATCAGCATCCAATATTCCCCTTCTCTGGCTCCCTGTAGCTGCATGCATCAGATGTAAAACCCTTATGCTTGACTACAAAGCCAAAAATGGACCAGCCCCTCCCTACTTGATGGCAATGGTGAAATCTCGAACTGTACCACGAGCCCTTCGAGCTTTGAGTACAGCTCGGCTTGACACGGCGTCCTTCAAGGCGCGCGGAAGGCAAGCATCAAGACTGTTCTCTGTGCTGGCACCCAGGTGGTGGAACGAACTCCCACTGGCTGTCCGTACAGCAGAGTCTCTCGCTGTCTTCAAACACAGACTGAAGACACATCTGTTTATGCAGCACTTAAATGAGCACTGAATTAAGTATTGATTGTAATGTATTGTACTGCACTTATGTATTGTATTGTGTTGTATTGTATTGCGCTGCTCTGTGTTTAACTCTGTTCCTTTTTCTCTGGGTATCAACAATGACTTTCTGATTCTATCAGTATCTGAGCTCAGGACTGACTTTCTCTCTAAACTATTGGTAGCTAGCAAAGATGCTTTCTCTGGATAGACAAAGCACTTTTTGTAAGTTGCTCTGGATAAGAGCGTCTGCTAAATGCTGCAAATGTAAATGTAAATCTTTGCTTCTGAGAGACTCTGTCTCTCTATAATGCTCTTTTTATATACAGTCATGAGAGTTAGTTGCAAATAGCTCCACCAGCTGTTTTTAATTAGTGCCACTTACTTGTGCAGCCTTTTGTTGCCCCTGTCCCAACTTTTTGGAGAGCAATAAAAAGTATCAGATAGCAAAACAACTGTCCCCCTTTGGGGTGGCTATCCAGATTTAAATACCAGATTTATATACCAGAATTGGAATTTGTAATAGAAATATTTCACTATGTAAAAGAATGGGAATGAACTTTAGTATTTCATAAATGATAAGTTGAACAGTCATTATCTCCACTGTGGGAGGAAAAAGTGTTCCAAGTTTAGTGGCTGTATCCCACAATTACACACATTTTACATCGTAGTTAGAAGCACAGTGAGATCACAAATTCATATAATCTCATGTAAATCAACATATATCCACAAGGGGGCACCTGTATCATCTGAATTGTTGGAAACATGACTTTAAAGATGATATATAAAATGGACAGTTAGAAATTAACACCCACATCTTCTTACCAACATTCCTTTCTTCTCGTGACAAAGGTGATCTCTTTCACCTCTCTCCTAGTACGATTCAAAACTGTCTCGTGGTCAACCGCAGACGCTGATCTAACATCCTCAACTGGCCAAACTAGAGCTGACAACAGCTGACTGGAGCCACTTGTCTGTCAGGGCCTCTAGATATTTAATATCAAATATGCTTCAGTGTCTGCAGTTTAGCATAAATCTTTCTTGAGCATTGTAAGTTCACTATTTTGGTTCATATTTGCTGTGATCTGTTGATTTCAGAAGGTCTAGAGAGGCCTGGAGAGGATATCGCTATAACTTTAAATGAAATCAATGTAATTTTACAGGGCCCATACCTTACATTTTTCTTGCATTTTATTTTCTTCTCCAGGGTCTACTTATAACAGTTGTGTGATTTTATATGGAAATGTTTCCAGATTGAAGATTTAAGAGTTTTATTGTCATGTGTAAAGTAAAACAAGTGGTTACACTGTACAATGAAACTCTTACTTTGCTTATCATCTGTTCACAGAATAAAAAAAACATAAATAAAAAGGTAGAAATAAATAAATAGATTTAGTAGTTAAAATTGCTTGTACTGCAATGAATATGACATTAAATTTACATGTGCAGAATTGTGCAAAGAGCAGAGAGCAGCGGTCATAAAACGCATTGTGCAGTGTTGCAAATAACAATATGACAGCAGCATTAAATGCATGTATGTGTGTTGAGTTCAGTAGGGATCAATAAGTAATGTGTATGTGTTAGCCAGAGTTCAAGCCTGATGGCCTGTGGGTAGAAACTGAAACTTCCCTGATGATACTGAGTGCCCTTTTGATGACCCTGGTGTGGTAAATGTCATGTTGTGAGGTAACGGCTGCTCCTGAGATGGGCTGTGCGGTTTTGATCACACGCTGTAGAGTCTTCTTGTCCTGAACAGAGCAGTTTCTATACCAGATTGTGATGTAGCTGGTAAGAACACTCTCAATCATACTCATTCATCTGGCAGTGTGATGTGTGTTGTGCCCTCTGCTGGTAATCTGTGATGTGTTGCAGGCCTTGCCTCAAGCACAGGAAGTCATCTCCTAGAATTAAACAAGCTGTTTTTGTTTTTGTTTATGCCCTTAAGACTAATATATGTAAATGAGCTCTATCCTTCTTTTATGCCTCATTAAAAAAGCATTCATAACTTCAGTGCGAGTGGGTGGGGCTAAACTGCTGTAGGGCAAGTAGATGGATATATGTCAATGTGTTGGGTTTTATGATTTATGATCATTTATGATGATGCCAAAGCATACAACATTTTCCTCATCTGCTTCAGCCTGAATGAAGATCTTAGGAATTAAATTGAGGTTAGAATTGTATTTGTTAGTGTAGGTAGAACATGGAACTGTTTAATGACCTGCAGGACTGAGAGTGAGGAAAACCTTATACTTTCTTGGCCTGCACTTTTTCAAGTCAAGTCAAGCCAAGTCAGGCTTTATTGTCATTTCAGCTATATACAAGTGCACAGTGAAATGAGACAACATTCCTCCAGGACCATGATGCAACACAGGAACACAAGTGCGAGACAATACAATAAACACAGAGCAGACAATACAATACAATAAGTAATATGAAAGACTTACAATAAATACAAAACAGAACACAGGCAGTACACGGTACTGAGAGTATGTGGAGTTGTGCAAAGGAGGATGTAACATACTATGACATATTAGCAGCTTAGCAGATCACCTAGCATATATGAGCATAGCAGTCACTGACGTAGCAACCAGAGCAGCAGTGGAATACAGTATTTGGTTGATACAGTAATTCTAGCAGCTACCATTGTTAAAGTGAAGTGGAATGTGCAAAATGCAAGTAGTCAGATCTACAGTCATATGAAGTATTTCAGTGAAATGCAGTAATCATATTTAAATACAGTGTTCCAGACATAATTTGGGACTGCAAGAAGTGGAGAGTGAGTTAGTCTCATATTGTTATATATAAGTGTGTGTGGGTCTGTGTGGGTGTCCTTCAATTCAGTCTGTGGAAGGTGAGGAAACTGATGACTTGAGGATAGAAACCGTCTGGAATGCCGCAATATCTTCTTCCAGATGGCAGAAGAGAAAACAGTTTGTGTGAGGGGTGTGTGGGGTCAGTCACAATACTAATGGCTTTGATTATGCAGCGTGTGGTGTAAATGTCCGTGATGGAGGGAAGAGAGACCCCAATGGTCTTTTCAGCTGTCCTCACTATTTGCTGGATGGTCTTGCGGTCAGAGGCGGTACAATGGTGGTGGCCTTGATGCAAGCTGGAACAACGGCACGGCTTAGATAGTAACATCATCGGTGCATTTGCAGATATAGCCAGTCACTGATGCTGTATATACCTCCAGGTTAACAGAATCATTCTTAGTGGCAGCCTCCCTAAACACTTCCCATGCAGTCTGATGTCAACCTCAATCACTGCCCTGATCGGAGCAGCTGGTTTGTTTATGAAGAAGATCGGAGCATTCTGAGAGGATGTCATCAGTAAAAGTATTGCTCTGCAAACCTTCAGTGGATGGCAATACGTTATAAAGCACACCTTTAAAAACTCAAATACTTTAGTCTAGATAGACTGCAGTTAATCACTCTTGTGGAATAGATTACAGCAGATTACGTGGGGGCAGCTGGAGCCTATCCCAGCAGTCACTGGGTAGAAGGCAGGATACAACTTGGACAGGTCGCCAGTCCATCGCAGGGCAAATTAAAGAAAACCAGATTTGCAATTACCTGAGTTAACCACTGGTGGCAGCCTGTGAAAGTCACGTAGATGTCTTATGCAGAGTTTCTGGTCAAATGAACTGTGCATATTTTCCAGAATATAAAAGAGGAACCAGAAGCACTTCAAAAAAAAAAAAGAAAAGAAAAAAGCATATGTGG